TAGAGGTGACCTGCAAAGCAGCTGTGTGACAACTTGGGGTGGTTTGGGGGGACACAACCCTCCACCCCACGCAGGGCGGTGGGCACAAAGCTTTGGCTCCGGCTCCAGGAGGGAATGGGATAACTTCTCCCCGTTCCACGGAGCTCCAACTCCACCCAAAACACACCACCGGGCGGGGAAGGACCTCACCCTCCATCCCCACCGACCAAGCGACCAACAGCCCCAAGGAAGAAGGTTCCGAGGTGGGAAGAACACTCCGAACTCGTCAACAGGAAAGATTCCCGCCCGGAGCGGCCGACGGGGAAGCCAAGGAGCAGAGGGGCCCAGGGGGTTGGGACACACACATGTTCAGCGGTCAGTTGCACAGGGAGAGCGAGGACCCCACGTAGAAGAGCCAGAAGAAGGGGAAGATGCGCTCGGAGAAGGCGGCGGTGAAGGTGAAGATGGGCGCCATGTTGTCGGCGTTGTAGAAGGCGACCCAACCGCCCTCGTAGTCCAAGTAGACCCCGATTTTCCGCGGCCGCTCGCACAGCGACAGCGGCGTCTCCGGCGAGGTGAACGCTTGGTACTGATCCCAATTTTTACCCTTCCAGTTGAGCCCCACCGCCCAAATCCCTTCTTCGGGGGCGAAGTCGACCTTCTCCTTGCGCCGCACGGACTCGCGCGCGGCTCCCAGCCCCCAACTCTCGCCGTCGCCCACCTCCACCTCCCAGTAGTGGCGTCCCGCGGCGAAGCCCTCGGCGGCCAAGACGCAGAAGGCGTAGTCGAAACGCTTGGGGTGCGCCGGCAGCTCCTGGGGGGCCCCGCGGAGTCGGACGCTGCGTTTGTCCTCCGAGAGGACCAGGTACGGGTTGGCCGTGTCGGGATCCAGAGAGAGGTCACCTGGGATGAGGAGAGGAACGGGAAGGGTGAGGGGTGGGCACGGGGTTTGGGATCTCAGAGATGTTGGGGGGTCAACGGTGAGGGGAACGACGCGTAGTCTGTGCCCTCGGTGATGGGGGGGACACAGGTGAAGGTCTAGGTGGGACTGGAATGGTGTCTGTGCCCCCAACTGATGGAGATGACACAGGTGAGTCACGTACAGAAGCTTCAGGTGCTCCCAGGGGACCTGATCCTTGGACACTCCCAGGTTTTCCCTGGGAAAAGGAGGGTGAGAGCCCTCAATCCCAAGACCCTCACTCACCTGTGTCGTTCTCCAGCTCGAAGCGAAGGTTCTCTGTGGGGACAGAAGGAAGGTCTCAGTTCCATCAATTGCCCTTCCAGTAGGTCCCAGTCCCATCACTGCCCCTCCAGTAGGTCTCAGTTCCATCAATTGCCCTTCCAGTAGGTCCCAGTCCCATCACTGCCCCTCCAGTAGGTCTCAGTTCCATCAATTGCCCTTCCAGTAGGTCCCAGTCCCATCACTGCCCCTCCAGTAGGTCTCAGTTCCATCAATTGCCCTTCCTCCAGGGGGGATGGAGCCCCTGGAGCTGCCCGGGCTCGGAGCTGGCCTGGGGCAGTAGGGAGACGCCGGGAGGACACTGGGCAGGATCCAGGTGCACCCCACGGTCGGAGTGGGCCCGGGAGGGGATGAGGATACCTCACCCTGCGGAGGCTCCGGCTGCCAAAAACACCTGGGGCAGGCAAAGGGGGCCAATCCCAGTTTTTCTGCCACATCCCACAGTTCCATCACTGCCCCTCCAGTAGGTCCCAGTTCCAAATCCTAGATTTTCCAGCCAAATTCTGGGGAGGAAATCCCAGTTTTCCCACCAAATCCCCGTGGGGAAATCCCAGTTCTCCCACCCAAATCCCATCTTTCCCTCAATCCCAGCCAGTGCCACACAAGGGCAACTCCTCCAACTTCCACAGCCTAAGGATGCCCAAATCCCTGTCAGGAATCTCCCAATAAAGCCTTATTTTGGAATAAAACTGGGAATTTGTGCTGAGTTTCCATGGCAAATGAGGCAGAAAAGTACCAAATTAAGAAGCTCTTTTAAGGAATTTTTTTGGTGTTTTTTTTTTTTTTTGCACAGCAACTTTTATTTCCCTCGGGAAGTTTGGGGGGTCCCGGGGGAGTCTGGGGGGGATAGGGGGAATTTGGAGGGGCTAAGGGGGATGAGCTCAGAGCATTCCCACCCCAGCCTGCCCTGCTGGAATTCCAGCTGGGATTTTTCCAGGGGCTCACCCTTGAATTCCAGCAGCACTTCCTTCAGCACGGCACTCTTCTGGGAAAAGCTCTTCAGCTTCTTTTCCAGCTCTGAAAATCCAGGCTCAGGCTTGAGGAACATCCAGCTCTCCAGGCTGAGGGGAAACTGGGAGTCAGGGATCTTGGGAAAGGAGCAAACCCCTCCAAAAAATCCTGCGGAACACCAGTTCACTCACCTGCTGCCAGCTGGGACAACATCCTGGGAAGAGGGAGGAAAAAAGGAAACAAACAGGAATTTGTTAGGATCAGCCTTTTTCCTACCTCAGACATCCCAAATTCCTCCCCAGAGCCAGGCAGGATTCCAGAGAGGGGTTTTTGTCTCCCAGAAATGGGAATTTTTCCCCAAAATAAGTAAGAATTTTTATCCCTACAGATGGGATCTCAACCCTGAGCTCTCCAGGGTTTCACATCTGCTGGAGATTAATTCCCAGGCTCTGGGAACATGGACCAGGTGTCTCACCTGCCCAGGTTAGCTCCCTATCCCATCATCCCAGACCTGGGGACATGTCCCAGGTGTCTCACCTGCCCAGACTGACTCCCTGTCCCATGGGGACATGTCCCAGGTGTCTCACCT